TGCTCAGGCAAGGGTGGAGTGGAAAATCGATGTTCTGAGCTCGTGCAATCATTTCACACAACTCTTCCGTGACTTATTGATCGAAGGTACTTCCTGGGGTTTATGGATGGCATCGGCCGGCGCTGTTGCGCATCCTCAGATGCACCGGAGGACACAAGGGACATGACTTTGAGACTTTGAGTTTTGCGTTGCTGAAGGTTTAGACCAGCTTCTCTACCGTGTACAAATTTTCGTTGGCCATTGTGGGCAGACAGTCCAAAGTACTCGGATTCCCTTCTTGCAGAAAGACTACCCTGCTGGTGCTGAATTTTCCATGAATTTTCCATGTCCACAGCGCAAACGGAATTAGTACGCCGCTCGAAGTCTCTGCGGCCGACTGGAGACCACGAGCCTGCAGCTTCGTTTTCGTTGGGGGCCGGGCCTGTGTTGAATGGCAAGTTTTGCAAGTTGTGGCAACATGTGGCAACTGCAATCATTTTTAACGTTATAGTTATACCACTATGCGGTTCGTTCAGAGTAAAGAGAGCATAGCAGCATGGTGCGCACCCTGCAGCGCGCTGCTCCCGCTAGTTAAGGAGAGAGGCACACTTGCAAGAAAGCATTCTGGCTGGTCCCAGATAGTGCGAGTTCTTGGTTGTCTCACGGTGGTCGCCCGGTGATCTCCTGGTGTTGTTGTTGGCTTCCGCCTGGTCGCAGTGGTCGTGGTACGTCGTGGTCGTCATGAGAGTCTTCGTGTTTTTGTTGATCATTGTTTGGCGATCCACGCTTTCAGAATCTTTTGGTTTGGGATTTGGGGTTGTCACATCAGGTCGCAGTGCCACTCAACCATTCAACCTGGATTGACCAAACGAACCCACTCGAAACTTTCTGGTCCGTTCATGTCCGTTCGTTAGTCTGCGCGTTTGTGCGTGCGTGCGCGTGCCCGTGAGAGTGCGCGAGCGCGTGCGCGTGTGCGTGTGCGCGTGCGCGTGGGCGTGGGTGTGGATGCGTGTGTGTGTGTGTGTGTGTGTGGGTGTGTGGGTGTGTGGGTGTCTCTGTCTGTGTCTCTGTCTCTGTCGGTGTCTGTGTCTTTGTCTGTGTCTGTGTGTCTGTTTGGCCAGGGCCGGTTGAGTCCAGGGCCAATGTACCCCGCTATCGGTGGAGAGATGCGAAGGAGCTTCAGCTCGTTTTGGATTGTCTGCATGGCGGCCTGGACGCAGCATGACAGTCTTGCTGCCCAGTGGTGTAAATCACAAGTCCCATCGGCACCAGATGCCTGCATGATTACTCGTCTCGGCCGAGTCCTCTCTGTGCCTCCCTCCCTTCCTGCCCCTCCGCCTGCCAGCCCGCCCTCTCGTGCTCTCTTTCCCTCTTTTGTGTTTTTCTCTTTTTTTGTCTTTCTCAAACTCTCTCTCTCTCTCTGTCTCTCGCTCTCTACCTCTCTCGCAGGTATGACTCCCATTGTTCTTGAGGATATGCGAAACCTGTGGGGCTGATTGCGCACGACACTCACGTAATGGCAGGGCAATCGCTGTCATGGTAGTGCCGGAGGCAGCAGTTATGAGTGTAAACGCGGTCTAGTTTAGGCGGAACAATATCACAGAGTTGGTCACCGTACTCTCAGCACGTTGTGTTGAAATTGCCATGTTGTTATTTTTATTGCGTACTTGTCTATCAAGTATTGAGTGATGGTTCAGGCGCTTCAGTTCCTTCGGGTGCAATTTTGGGCGCCGCTTCAGCGCAAGGTAAGACTCCGCAATGCCGTGCGACGCTGCAGACTTGGCGGGTCGGCAATTTGCCACCTTTCGATTCAGCGAGTTGGCTGGGAGCAAAATACAGCCGGCCTTGCCCTGCCCACAAGACTACATATGTCGATTTCCTGTCGAGGTCCTTTGCTGCAGCATGTGCTTGGGGTGTCATGTGGATGCTCGTGGTATTCTGGTGCAACCAACGCTGGAGTCAGTGGGCTTCATGAATCGCACCGCACGACCACCCAGGCCCAGATGGCACGCCCGGAGGCACATTCTGCACGGCAGATGTGATTGGTATATACGGGTATATATGTAAGATCGGTTGGAAATGGTTGGAATCTGACGTTAACTCTGGCCTGCAGTTGCGCATTAACTGAGGTTCGTGTCAATATGGATTTGAAGATGCCCCTGCATTGGAAATCTTGCGCCCTGCTTCGTGTGTACTTGCATTTTTGGAGCCCTTTCCCAGGGCCACGGTCGGTCACACTCGACCTTCCTGCCACGTGCGAGGACATGCAAAATGCTGTACCCATCCCATTTTAGAAGCCGGATTCGACCTGGACACCCAAAAAGCATTAGCTGCGGCGAGGGCCGCTGGTTGTTCGTTGAAGCAAGTACCATTTCTACCAGATGACCTAGAATGTTTTTGGATAAGATCGTGCCAAATAAATTACTGCCACGCCCGGCTCTTTGCCTGTGTCCTGCCAGGCCTTTGAAATCTGGGAGGCCTTTGAGACGCGGCCTCTCAGTCCGAGACCTGGCAAGGGGCGCAATGTCTCGGCACTCAGCAAGGCCTCATAGCCTGGGAGCCGTGGAGCAGGCTGCAAGGCTCAGAGACGCTCAGACGCTCAGATTCAAGGCTGCCAGCACCTGACAGCCTGGCTGCAGCTGAGGTGCTGGGAGCAGTATTCCTGGTGTAGATGGTGGGGAGCTCGGCTGATCTTGAGGCCAAGCTTTGCGTTGCGCGAACTTTAAAACTCGACAGGCCGAGATCACGATTCCCCGTGGTGCTCAGTACTAGACGCCTGTAATGCGCATGGCATTGTTTAATCTGTGTGAGAGTGGGCATGCAGCAAAGGCATGTACGAATTTGACTGCAAGATGTGGGTGGTATGACCGGGATGTCAACCAGTTGAGGCCAGCCATATTGAAACTTCCCCAGTCATGCAGGTGCTGGGCTATACTGTAAGGCTCATATCATCTTCTCTTTCTACTTCTGCGCCCGGACCAAGGCCTTCCCAGCCGCTCGATGCGACGTCCGCGATCTTCCACCCGACTCCAGGCGCCTTGTTGAAACATCTTGGTTGGTCTCCTTTGACTTGCATTGGTTGGCCTCTTAACCGAGTCGTTCCTGCGGATTTGCAGCGCCAGGCGGAAGTGGAGATGAATCGGGCACAGGACCGCTTTGATGCAGAACGAGCCGGCACGTCAGTGTTGCTGCCGCCCGGCCTCAGGCACAGCTGTCAGAGCTGCGGAAGAAGCTCCATGCTGAATCGCGCGAGGCTTCATACCGCAAAGCGAAGAGTCCTTGTACTTGCTCACTTGCTTGCGAGTCTTTCCGATGCCTGGCTCTTTCCTGTGCTTGCTGCCGACACGGCCGCAGTCATCCCGAGACACGTGTCATGAAGTCGTGAGCCAGTGCGTGAAGGCTTGTTTACACCATCGTTTTGCAGGTGGAGCGCTTGCAGCAGTGTTTGGACGCAGCCAACGGCGAGGCACATTCTTTCTGGAGGAAGCGACCCACTCAGCAGCGCAGGGCGCTGACAATTGCTATAATCCTCTGTGGTGCAGGCATCTCATCAGCGCACCTTAGCGCAGGCGGCGCAGGCTGGGCAGCACGAAAACTGGGATCAGGGTCAAAACTTGCGAATGGCATCTCTGGGCCATCTGGGGCCCGGGCCAGCAGCTAGCGGTCTTAGCTGGCTTCCTCCAGCAGTGCCGTTAAAGGTGTATAATCGGCCCAACAGCCTTGACAAAACACTCTCCTGTGGAAAAGCGCGGCTTCAGCAAGAGTGCGCTTGCAACTTGCAACGGATGGGCACGTGACACAGACCGAAGTTGGCGGCAGGGCATCATGCACAGAATTTATTCGCGTGTCTGTGCTTTGGACCTTGGACTGCTGCAGTGGCCAGGTCGAAATAGGAAAGCTCCATCAGCGGCTGGCAGCAAGTGAGGAGGAGCGGAGACGAGAAGAGGCGGAAGACTGCGGAACATGCTCTGCTTTCTCGAGGCGGTCCAGGCATCGCAAGCGGCGCAGGCGCAAGCGGCGCTCGCGCCAGCACATCGCAGAGCATCGCTCTCTCCTCATCGCTCTGCTCCTTTCTCGGCACAGGATGCTGCCGGTCGTGCCGCTGGCGACGCTGAGCGTCGTTTGCAGGCACCACCGAAGCAACAGCTGCAAGCTCCAGTCCCGAAACCTCGCATCGGCACATCAGGCTGAAATCTTCGAGCTAACTGCGAGGTTGCGACAGGTGGAGAGCGGACGTGCTAAGAACTTAGCTGACTGACGGTTTGCTTCTCTTCGTCTGCGCATGCTTGGTCGCCAGAACAACTTGATGATAAAAGGGTCTGCAAATTTAAACGATGTACATGCGATTAATTTGCAAAGCTCAAGAGGCCAACTTGTCAATATTACTCCATATTTCATCCTTGGGAAATGATCGAGAACACAGTTGAAGGAGATCACGCAGAGTGACCAGATTGAGCTGAAGCAGAGGTTGGAGGAGAAGGCCTGGCTGTGTCGCGGCTACAGCGTCGCTGTCCCATGCGGGGCTTTGCGTGAGTTCGGCTGACCAGAGGCCACTTATGCAGCCACCCGAGCCGCTGAGCAGGCCCTCGCCCATGAGCGACTCGCGACCCACAAGGCTCTAATTATAGATCGGTCCCTCTAAGTCTATATGGGTGCTGCAAGAGGTCTTGCTTGTCTGACACTGATGGACAAACAACCAACCGCTCTTCTTGGCTTTTTGAGGGCGACAACATCCCTTGCCCAGGGGGAGCTGGCAGCACGTGCGGAGCGGCGCTTGGGCCCTACGGCCTACAATTTGCTTGACCTCATTGGCTCGTTGCTTCAATGTGCAACAGTCATGCGGTTTTCGTGGCTTGCGTTGGAGACATGCCTAAATTAAGCGCACACTGCAAGTGGCGAGCTGAGCGTCGACGCTCGACTAGTGTCAGAACTTGCAGATGTTCAGACCCTTCGTGGATGTCCTCCGGGTATATCCAGTAGAAGTCTGAGCAATTGGATAGTCCTCAGAGTTGCTCGACAGCATGTCGCCGAAGCTTTCAATGCTGCTGGCTGCGACCTGTACGCTTCCGGTCTGGCCCTGAGTGTGGCACAAAGCTAGATTTGAGATATGGGCTTGCATTCCCACCCCGCGGTTTGGGTCCGTTGGTCAGCACATGAATCGTTTCGACAGGTCTTCGGCGAGCGTTTTTGGTATGTTTCTGCTTTGACGGCAAGCGCATCGCTCACCTCAGCAGACGGAGCTTGCCTCAGCCGGCGGAAAGCACTTCAGCTTCAGCGGCCTGCCACTCCTTACCGAGAGCATTGCAGAGCTTCGCGATTCCCTGAACTGCTCATCTTAGGCAGCTTCGACGAACAATCTTGGCTCAAGGACATGCGTGAGTGGTAATGCTTGGACCCGCACCCACGCATACAGTAGTTTGCACACCAGCAGGATGCAGATCCGCCAACGCCGGAGCCACTTGGACCGTAAACCAGTGCGCCAGTGCGCGGTTCAGCCAAGCTTCAGATGAGCCCTTACCTTAGCCTTACCACCTCGAGTTTCCTCACTTCATTGATGGTGCCAGCAATGACGACAACTAAGCACGCGCACGTTGTGCGGCTTACTCCTCACAAACTGCCCCTATTGCAGTTCTTGCCAGGAGGGCTGCCGCATTCTTGGATTGCGACGCTTGGCTTGCTGTTGCTTGATGCCGGTGAACCGGTGGACAGATGTGAGCAGACAGACACGCCATGACTCGAAAGCCGCGACGGCACATGCGGTTGTCGATGTTGAGGGCCATGGCTGCTTCGATGTTTGCAGCATTGCCCTAGTTGCTCTGAGCTCTGGTCATTTACGACAGCGTTCGCCTTTTCCAAAGGAAGGCCTTGGTCAAGACCACGGATTCTGGCCAGTGTTTCGACAAGCCCTCCTCACCGAGGGTGCTGCTTGTCTTTCTTAAGGGTCTCGGGCTCGCAAAGGCTTCAGTGCGCGCCCAGTGAGGTTTTTGGGGAGACCACACTTCAGCTCGCCGTGAGGCCTGATGTTGTCAGAACCGGGGGCAAGCGAAGGGAACTTGCAACACTGCCTGGAGAGGAAATGGACGGACTATGAAAATTTCCAGGAGATTTTGCATTGTGTTGTCGCTCATGACGGTTGAAGCTGAATTGTATCACACCGGGGGCGGGCATTGCTTGCTCAGACTAATGGACTCCTAAAATCAGCAAAGCTGAGCAGGAAGACCTCTTCCGTCGGCGGGACAGTGGAGGCGAGATGATCATGGCAGCTTGGCAAGTCACTTCAGACCGGGCTAAACCACAACCAACGAGAGAGCGATTGTCCAGTTTTGTCATCCACACACTTTCATGCACTTATTATGGTGAGCGAGTGTAAGCTGTCCATCGTTTCAGCTCCTGCCACTGGCCTCCGGCAAAATAATGTCTGCGGTTTGCTTTGGGCAACCCAGCTTCCGACAATGATCGGCTCTTGTCTTGTCAAGGAGATCAATCATGAATTTAGTTTGGTCCAGCCTGCTATTCAGGACAAGATGCCCCAGGTGCCGGGAGGCAGGAAAAATACCTCCCCCCCAAAGCTCCAAACTTCTCAGAACAACACCTCTTCAGCTCTTGGGTCTCGAGCTCCTGGCCGAATTGCGGCCAAACGAAGAAAGACACAATTCATTGATCAAGTGGCAAGGCACCAGGTCAAAGTTGTTTTGCCCAGCTCCTGCAGTGTTGACTTGCGCGTGATAATGCTGGCTGAAGCTTCTCCATTGCTAAGACCGTCCCCGGCCTCACATTCGCGTGCTTCAGAAGCATATATACGGCTGGGCCTATGCTGTAGAGACAGGTGCTGAAGCTGTAATTATTTCTCGACGGGGTTCGGGATGGCAGCTCCAACACCTTGTGCTACCAGGAACGGCTCAGCAGTCGAAACACGAATCGCGGACCTGATCGACCTGCCGCTGGTGCTTCAGAAGGCAGAGCTTGGACCGTCCTGACACATCCCGCTCTTTTCCCAAACATCCTTGCAAGTGCACGGAAGATTATGCACCTGTGACCCCGAATGCCGCGAGCTAGGCGCACTTCTCCCAGCTCTTCGATGATCCGCCGCAGCTCGCCCCAACCTGGTAGCAAAACTAGCAGACGGATGCTTGAAGCGACGTCGTGTTTCTGATCTGTGGCCGTGAGGGGAGGGAGTACTTAAAAAGTTGGATTGGAGGGCAGCCACTAGAAGTTGCGCATCATACGACATGGATGTTCGATCTGAGCTTTCTTTCCGCACTGTAATACCACAGTCTTGAAACAGACTAGTGTGGGTGGGTGGTTCGATCGGCTGCGGAAGATAGTCTCGCCTGTTGGCAGTCAATGAAAGAAAATACAGTAAATACAGCACGCCTGGTCGGATGTACCCCACCTCAAAATCAAAGAGACTAAGAAGGACATTTGGACACCCATTATGGGTATCTTTCATTACTCCAAGCAGTTTAGACTTGAGCCTGCGGAGCTTGTTTTATTGCAGTGGTGGAGGTGCGGCTTCTCTGCCGCCAGACTATTCCGACAATTACTTTTGAGAGATAGAGTTTCTCGAGATTCTCCGCAGAAATTGAAGCAGGCATCAAATTTCGAGAAGGTCCTGTAAAGTTTTGGAAACTGTTCTCCAGCCACCCCAGCCCTCTGTCCATTAGCAATCTTATATTTATATATATATATATATCGGTCCTTACAAGACCTGCTTCTGATGCATGTGGCCGTTCGTACATGTTCAGTAGTGTTGTCCTTCACTTGTTCCAATCCGTGCTCTCCTCTCTATGCAGCCGGCTGCCCTCCGCGAGTTCTGTTCGAGACTTCCAATTTCATACTTTTCTCAGTACTTCAAAGCTTCTTTAAGTGAGTGTTTAAATCATATAATAATAAGCTGAAGACGCCTTGCAAACCATCAGTGCGTCACAAGACTGGTCGGAATAGATTTTCCTGTAGTATTCAAGACTTCTTACTCGAGAATGCCTGCCCGAATCAGCAGCCGCTCCCCAAAGCTGTGCGCCAGAGTTTTGTTTTTATCTCTAACCCTGTTCGCGGGAGCTTTATTGATGGCACGCGCAGCGACAAGGGTGGCGCGTAAACCTACAGCAGCTCTCTCAGGGGAGATGTTGAGATGGCCCAAGTCGGGTCATGGAACGGCTGCAAGGGCCTCGCTTCCTTAACATATTTTCTTGAAAGATCCCTTAAAGGAATCGATCCCTAGAGGAAGCTTTAAGATACTCTTCTTTTGAAAGATTCCTTAGATCATCCCTTACAGGCTCCTTTTGAGGGTTGCTTTCAGGGATCCTTTCAGGGAATCCTTTCAGGAACTGTAGGGCTTCGGGCTCCTTTAATGGCATCTTCAAAGGTTTTTTTTTTTCAGGGATCGTTTACGGAATTCTTTAAGGAAATGTAGGGTAAGGGCTTCTTAAGGGTTCTTTTAAGGGATCCTTTGTGAGTTTGGTCACGCTGGGGCGACGCGCCTCACGAGCATCAGCTACGGGTCCTTTGGGTTCCGCCGGCCACCGCCACTTCCAAGGGAGCCACAGGTTGGTTCCTTGATTTCGTCTTTCTTGCTTGCGGCGCCTGCACCCCGAGAAAGCCCTAAAACCGCGATGCCCGCCGCGCCTGCCCCCAAGGGACGACCTTGTCCAACCGGATGCTCACAAAAAACGATGTTTTGCAAGAATGACGCTTTAAACAAGCGCATCCGTAAAACATACAGAAAGCAGAAGATGTACAGCATGTTGATGTGTTCGCAGCCACAAAGGAGCCATGAACCGCCAGGTCAAGGAACAAAGATGCTGCTGTTGCCGGTGCAAAACAGAACGAAGCACCAACACCCACCTGCACGAGCGACAAAGACCCCCGAAAACCAACGTAACACCAATAATGCAGGCGACAAATAGGTCAACCAAACTGAACTAAACTACCCGGGATGGGTCAGCGGCACCTGCGACCCGCAGCCTTATCCTCCCGTTAGGCAAAACGCGTTAGCTGATTAGCGGACAACGTTGCATAATCCCATGCTTCTTCTTCCTGCTAATCACCGAGTAGGAAGAGATGTTTGACCCAGTGGTCTAGCCTAGCCACGGCGCGCCAAACTTGGGGAGCGGCCGAATTGTTCTACATCGAGGCTTCTATACATTTAACTTCCATAGCCGGCATCAGAATCCTGACCGTTGACCTCATTGACCCGTTTGCTGTGCTCAGGAAATGGGGGCCGGAGGAGTTTGCAGGATTTTTGGCCTGCCCTGTGGGCTTTGTGCTCGTGCAGTACGTCATTTTCCTCGCGCGCTTCGCCTCAGAGGCTTCCAGAGATATACCGGGTAGTCACAGGGAGTCGATGACATACGGTGACATACGTATTTTTGCTACCACAGACACAGGCGGCGGGCGACTTGCTGAACACTGTGCAGCTGAGGAATAAGGTTCGCGCCCAGCTGGATCCAGAGACACTGAAACAGTACTGGGCACCGGGCTTAGAGGGTGATATATTGATATGTGCTGGTCCCAACCATGAAACATGCGAAGCACTTTCTGGGCACTTAGTTGATGTAGTCCTGTTTGGGCAGCTTAGAGGGAGAGACAGTGCAAAGGAGGCGATGCTGAATGCCTTCGGCTCGATCTACTCGGTTCCAAACTACGTCCTCGACCACTCGGAGTCCGAACCCCGGCAGCAGCATGAATTTCTGAGAGCACAGGAGCCCTGCTACGTTTTTCATGTTGCGTTTTGTGCTGGGCCACAGCTGGCGGCAGTGACTGACGGGAAGTGGGTGTGAAACACTCCAACCGTTGCCCGTTCGTTAGTCACCGCGATGGCTTGAGTGAGACTACCATTGGCAGAAATCCCATCTTCTGTTTCGACTTATTTCATTTACAAGCAGCCCCAGTCCTTGAACAGCCCGTTTTGAGGCCAATTGGGGCTTGACATCAACGGACATCGTCACTTGGACGAATCATGTTGGCACCCGTGTGTTCTTTTGCGCCTGTTTCCAAGCGCGTGCGAGCAGTTGCAGCCACGACAATGCAGAGATCACTTCGGTATATGTAGGCGCTGGTCAACAGCAGCTGGCCTCAGCTATGAGGCTGTGAACATCAACACGGAGCCGGGTGTGTACTATCCGCGCTACGAGGATGTCGCGTCGCTCTGAACTTTCGGAAATTTGTCGCAGGTGCAATGGGTAGCTCTTGGACCCCAAACCTTTAGCATCGGCTTCCCTTCGGCCTGGGGCTGAATAGATATCGAACGTGAATGGTGCTCTTGTTGTGAGCACAGCGAATCAGATCTGTGGTCAGGACTATTGCTCGCGTCATCCTGTGCCACCTCCAAGACTGACAGCTTGGCACGAGGAGACATGTGGAAGTGGATCTGGTGTGAAGTGTGCTGAGCTTCCACATTGTCCCTCTTGACACAACACAAAAAGCCGGGACATTCTCAGAGCCGTGGCCCGGCGAAGGATTCCACGAGTTTGATGACGCTGGAAGCATCAGGCGAGGCACGCAAGCCTCGAACAGCTCCTACCTCCACGCCTTTCGCCTTTGGTATGCAAATGCTACGAAGCATTTGCTGCCCTCCAGCCTTCCTGCCCAAGATTTCCGAAAGCTGCGTGCTACACAGTAATCACTTCTCCACCAACCCCGAAACAGATCGTTCCTTCCGACCCAGCAATGAACACTGAGAGAAACGGGCGCAGTGACATCTGTGGCCCACTGCGTTTGAGCCTCGACTCGCTTCTCCACCGTGCATGTCGAGTGTGCAGGGCCGGATTTCTCTGGACTCTGCGCTGGCCGCTCACGAATTCCCATCGCGCTGATCGGAGAACACGGGCCAGCCACATGATGCAGCAAGGAATCAATTGTCGTGCTGGGTCTGGTACTGGGTAGCAGAGATCAAGCAGCAGTTTATAGGGTTCGAGGTGAACTTGGACCACTTGAGCACTGCCCGCGCTGCATTGAAGGAGCCAGTGTTCACACTGTTGGTTTAGATAACCGTCACAGAAAATCTTCACCGGCCAACACCCGACGACCGATACTGAATGATAGATACGACGTCAACACATGCATCAACCGCTATTGAGGCTTGCAAGCTGCACGGAATTTGCAAAATTCAAGGTGCATAAGGTGCTGCACAGCAGAGAATCATGTAGCTGCATGGCGGTACAACTCGGGTTGCACCCCCGAGCAAGCTGTTCGCATGTCTTTCTTCCTGATGGCTTCAAACTGCTAGGAGGCTTGCGGCAGTGACTACCAGGATTCCACGGTGGAGGCGTCATGGGATGTGCAGCTGCTCCAGGTCTTGCTTAAAACAATACAGACCCGAGCGCTCGGATGAATGCAAAATCGGAGGTGGAGGAAGGCCACTTCTTCACTTATCTCTGGGCGCTTGAAGGAGTCTTGGCTGCCACGTGCTCGTTCAGCACCATGATCACAACTTTGCAAAGAGAGTGAGAGGGAGAGAGCGGAAATGCTTGGCACCCGCACTCGCACCCCGTGGAGGGCCACAACCCTCCATCATAGCCCTGGCGAAAAAAAACGGAGAGAGACAGAGAGCTTCTCGAGCGGGTGGTTGCGGGGGAAGCACTCCGAAGGTGCCTGGGAGTGCGGATCTCCCGCCACTTGCAATCGTAAGTAACTAAAGCGGACCGCGGGGGCGCCTTGAGCCATTGCACCTGCCGGAATCCAACTCAGCGATCGTGACACTACTGCGACTCCGGCGAAGGTGGGGGTGCAAGACCTTGCTGCTCGACATTTCGGGGAACCGTTGCACGCTCCTCTTATCCGTCGCCGGCTGCATTAAGTAAAACGACCTTCGCCCCACAAAGTTCCCCTACACTGGGCGGGGAGTACAGGTACCACTTGTCTGTGACAGTGGCAGGAAGGGCGAGACTGGGTTCTTCGAACTAGGGGGAAGACACCACATCTGTGGTGAGGGAATGCAGGCAGAACAGCCGCGGAGCGAGGAAGTGATGTGCCAAATTCGCTGAGTGGGGAGCTGCCGACCGACTCTGAATAGGCTGTCAAAACTCCATATGCGCAAAGGACTTTCAGAGGGGGACAGGAGCGTTTGTTAGGTTGAGAGTGGTTTGCAGCTAGCCTTGGCGCTTTGCTGTTTGCAGTGTCTTTGTTTACTCACAGTCCTTTTCCCCACTGATCCTACGCCCCAGCGCCCGGGATGCAAGCAAGCTGTAAATACTCTTGTGACGGATGTCTCGGTGGCGGGATTCGATGAAATTCCCACTGACTTGCAAGACTTGACTTGTAAATTCTGCTTTGCAGATGTCTACTCTGCCCACCATGCCATGTCAGTGCAAACTTGCTGCTCTGCAGTTGTCTGACAAACCAATTCTTTAATTCCCCTCCGGAGGACATGTCAAATCCGACAGTACCACCGGACTTTCCTTTTTGTCTTAAGGTTCAAAAGCTGAATCTTTTCCCAGGGGACAGCCAATTCAACCGGCACTTTGCTTGCTGCCCCTTTTTCCAAAACCCTTACAACCGCAGGGGAGTGCAAATTGATTCGGGAAGCCTGTGCTCCTTTCAGCCATGAGACAGCCCGACAAAAATGTGAAAAAACTAGACGTTGTCAGTCCTACTTTGTTGCGCCGATAGCTTAGTCTGCTTCGTAGATGTCGGGGAGCCTCGCCTGCCAGGACACTGTTTGAATCCCTGATACCAGTCCAGTGTCAAATTTCCCTTTTGGTTCGTGACAAATCGGGGGAATCAGAATTCAAGGTGTCCATGCAAGAAAGTACCGGGGG